CGTTTTCTTTTAGTTGGCAGGTATTGCTCCTGTGATTGCCTCAGCATTTACAACATCGAACTTTTTTGAAGCAGTTTAGCTGTGAGTGGCCAAATTCTTGACATTTAAAGCATTGTACAGGACATTTGCGAGGGGTATATTTTTCTATTTTAATGTTGACGTCAAAAATATTGTTTAGGCGATGAATTTGTTCTCCAGCCGCATTTTTGTGTAGTTCAATCAGGTAAATGAGTAGTAAAATTTTCTGGTCTTCGATCTTTTTGGAGAATTGTCTGACTTTAATAACAGCGAAGCCTCTGCTGATAAGATCTTCTGCGATTTCTGCTTCTGTGGTGGTGCTTGGCATATCTTTGAGTATCACTTTAATGGAGGATTCATTTTGAAGTGAGAAGGTATAAAATTGAATAGTATGGCTTTTTAAAGACTGTTTTAAATTGTGGACATCTTCCTGCGTGGTGGTTCTTAAGTAAATTGCACGATTTTTCATTTCTGCTTCGAAATGGTTTTTGCATTTTTCATGGCACATTTGCCGAACGGATCTCCAATCTGGGTTAGATTCTTTGATTACAATGGGAGGAATTTTTTCTGGTGGAATAGTTTCATTTGAATCTTTTGTTGTATTTTCATCTGTGTCCATTGCTGTATTTAATGGGGTAAATTGATTTCTTTCTACTATTGGAGTTGCTTCTGTTAGATTGATGGTGGGTTTGCAGGTTTTGTTTGGTTTTATCCATTTATTACGAATTGCTTCCTCTTCTTTCTCCAATTAAATAAGTTTTTGTTCGTAATGAGATTGGAATATTAAACTTTTTTGGTACGTTTCACTATTCGGGTCATAAGTCTTAATAAATGCACGCATTGTACTTAGCAGATCTTTTATTTCTGTAGCATTTGACTTTTCGCTGTTTGGGGTTTTTGAAGGCGTTTCTGTTTCACTTGAAGTTTTAGTTTCATTATTCGAGGCTACTTGAGCTGTTAATAAATTTGGAAAGATGTCTTTAAATTTTTCTTGGGGATTTGCTGTACTTTCTACTTTTTTACTTCTTTTAGGTTTTCTTAAGGAGTTTTCTGAATCCTGATTTTTATTTTTAAGGTATTGCTTACGGAGTTGATTGCTCATACTAGATTTTGCAGAATAATCAGAGTCGATTGCGTTAGAATTTACGGAGTAATCTGAGTCTATTTCGTAGTCGCTTTCTTGTCTATCTGCCCAATTCTTATCTGGTGGTTTTTTGCTTGTACTGGCCATGGAGGTGAGCAAGTAAAGGTCAACTTACCAAGAGTCAGGGTGCGAAGAATCAGAACGAAAAATCAAGAGCACTGTACAACCGTCTACGGTACTGGGTTGCTGCTCTGCTCGAGTGTGCTTGAATGAAAGCCCTGCCAAAGCACTTCGCATTTATACATTTTCTATGCGATACTACTGCCATCTGTAGATTTGCATATTGCTATCCCATGACTTTTGTCACTTCAGTGTACGATGGAGTCCTCTACTGCCGCTATAAAAAGATAAATTGTCGATTTTCCCGTGCGAAAGCCACACTGGTATGGGCTGAAAAGAATTTTTTTGCTAAGACGATGCTTAAACAAGCAGCTAATTGTTAGCAATAAATACTTCATTTCCTTCCCTTTCTTACGCTGAAATATGCTTTTCGAGGAAAAATATTCGAAATTTAAATTGCTTTTTTTTAAAAAAAACTCAAGGCTAAACCATTTTGAACGCCAATCCACCTTACAATGTACAAGAAATGTAGTTAATCAACAAAATGTAAAAGACGACTTGCAAGAATTCTGCAATTAAAAGAAAGTTCTTGAAATAGAACTTAATTAAAAATCGAAAATAACATAAACAGTCAAATACTCAAAATACATATAAATAAACAAAACGCTGGCGTAAAAAATTCGTTGTTAAACAACAAGCAAACAACTGTTTTGTACCTGGTGGTAAGACCCGCCTAATGCTAGAGGGCGCTGACAGCGCCATTGAGTGTGTTCAGAGAGTTGATGGAAGATGTGACGCAGTGATGATGTGAGATTTCTGAGATTGTGAAATTATTATACTCCATTAAATCAATTTATATTTTATTGATATTTGATATGATATTGTGTTTTGCTGAACCACCATACTTTTGACAAACTTGGATTACCACTAATGCGCACCTGGGTATATAGTATTACCATAATAGTAAATTTTTTGTGAAAATCAGCTATACAGAAATCATAGCTCTTTATTACAAATATTCAAAAACAAAAGTCAATTATTAATAAGCACATATCTTGCTATTAAACTACTGAGTATAAATTAAAAAGTAAAGAATTACAACGCGTCTCCTAGAGTGGTATAACCTACCAGGTTGTTTGGATAATAAGATCTTACACCTCGTGAAAAAGCAATACTTACTATGAGTCTGTTATTTTAAAATAAGGCACGAAGCGAAACACACTAAACAGAAATGAAAGGGGGAATTAAACGACTCGACTCTTTTTCTGCAGTTGTTATTCCCATGGTTCTGAGTCAAATCGGGTAGCGGGAAAAAAAAAACCTTGAAATTCCTATTTTAAAGCAACAGATTGTAAGCTACTTGGATCATAAATATCCCGACAGCTTAGCGTTAGAAGGCGAAATGCAAAAAAATGGAAAGATGTTTCTAGCATTCTAACTAGAAATGTTTCTAATAACAGAACTGAAACACAGTTTTATCTCCTTTCGCCTAAAACTACAATAATAGGACCTTGGTAACAAAATACGAGACAGATGCTTTTGTTTCCCATCCTATTAATCATTTCTGGTCATCAAATATAATTATCCATATTATTAAAGTCTTCATAAAACACTTCAATTTACAGTATATTAGGTTTTCATTAATTTTCTTTAATTAATCATTTATGCATAAACGTGCTCTTTAATTGGACACTATTTTTAGATGCATTCTTCAATACCGGTATTTTACGTACTTATGCTAAAAAGAAATTTCCCATCAATATTACTTACGCGTTAAAAAAGAGAAAGGGAATGTGAAAGCATTTTTATTGTACCGGCATTCAAAATGAAAGTAATAAACATAATATCACAAAACTCTGTCAGCAAAACCAAACTCAGTATAGCAATATCAAATTAAAAAGAAAGTAAAACAAGTTTGCGAAAAGATTCCTTCAATAAAATGCAGAAAAACGCTCCATAAAAATGGAGTTATAGTCACCCAGAATAGACATATATCTCTCACACCGAACTTTTATGTTATTGAGGAGACTGAAAAAAAGTTTAAACTCTAGTAAATAAACAATCTAACACTAGAGATATTAAAAACATCTTTATCCATGATATAGGCCTTTCTTCTTCAATAGAGTGTCTTCAAAAGGTGATTAAAGATAAAATACGATTTCAGAAAAGAGATTGCCATTCAAAGAAAATGAGAGACTTAAGTCAGTAGCTCTTGCATTTTATTTAAAATTTACATCAAATTAATTACTTTTTCCTATAATTCTACATCAACACATTTATTTTTTTATACAGAAGACTTTTTCTTGTGGTAATAGATGACACTTTTCCATGACAGCGAATTTTAACGAGGATAATCTTGCCTAGTGGCTTGGGTCTACAGATGAAATTCAGAGACCTAGAAGAAAGCTGCATTCATTAAATATCTTTCTTTCCTAAGAAATGCTGGATAACCTGGGCTCTGTGCCGCAGCATTTATAAAAAGAGATTTATGACTCCACGATAGTATTTCACTTAAGGGGCAAAAGACCTGATTCCTTTAGAGCTAAGAAGTCACACTTTCTCCACAGAAGAGCAGAAACGGTATACCAACGTCTAGCTCGATATCATTCCACTCTCAAATACCTGCTTAATAATAGCAGTTGCTTTCTCTTTATGCTGGAGGACTGTCAGCAACTAAAACATCTTGATTTCTCCACATAAAAATATATCAAAAAACAATCTCAATTTACCAGAGAAAGAAAAGAGAGCCATTTTTTATTTTCACTGGGGGGGGGAGGAATCAGAAATTATGTTTACGATACAACAAGTTTTCTTGCATACAGGATCAAAGGGAGGCAGACCATTATCATTGAGATTACTTATGGCACCATTACATATCTTGATGATGTCCACTCTCTGGTGACCAGTGGTGTAGCTAGGGTGGGGCAAGGGTGTGTGATTATGGCAAAGCCTAGAAGGCTATCTGCCTAAGAGGAGGGATGCCTTTGTGGAGGACTTTCTAAGGGAAACTGGCTCGTATACACGTTACACATGGTGAAAACCACGAAAACGCCCATGCAGCCAGCCCGTTCGCGGGATTCAAACCTCGGACCGAACTACCAGTGTTCAGCAACTTTTACCGCTCGGCTGCTGGTGGGCGGGGCAAGGGGGAACATCTGTCCCCAGCCGCTGCATCCAAGGTGCGCCAAATTGATGCTACGAAATTTTTTGATGAAATGTTTCCCATTCTTTGCACACAGAAAGGGACGCAAATCCTTCAGTTGTCCCCGGCCGCTGGAAACTCTAGCTACGCTCCTGCTGGTGACCTTCCCTGAGTTCTAGCAATGGCATCAGCTTATATGATGTTATTGCACATGGCAATTCATGCAAACATCATCTGCGTTGGAAAATCTGCCTTCGTTAGTTCGTATTTAGACAAAGGGCCATAAAAATCGCAATTAATACCTGTTCTTTATGAATCGAATACGAAACCGAAATATCAGTGTTAATTATTTAAGTATTTCGTCCATTTTAAAACAGGTTAACAATTAAAAGCAAAACAATTTGGCAAGAGAAGTGATAAAATAAAGTATTCAAAGAACAGAAAGTACAGTAAGAAAGTAATTGTCAGAAAAGTTAAAAGCCCAAAAAAAGTCAGCAAGAAAACGGAACTGGTGAAAATCTCGCACGCCATTAATATCATAAAAGCAATTTCAGTCACATCTATAAAAGTAGAACGGAAAGCGAAGATTGTGACAGCATGGAGATTTATGATCAATTAAACACAAGTTCTACTTACCAAGGTATGGTTCCTTTTTTCCCAGTCAGCTGCTCAGCAAGTTCTTCTAGCTTAAGCAAGCGTTCGCCCTGAAGCTGATACAAAGTCTTGCGGGAAGGAAGACCTACGTCGTACATCCCTTTAGGATAGTTGACACCAAGCCTCGTTCCTTGTCCTCCGGCTAAAAGAAGAGCGGCAACACGACCTTCTGAGATCTCGCGAAGCCCTTGGAAAGGAAAAAATTTGTTTCATCATTAAATACTGAAATAAATGTAAGGAAAACAAAATACTTTCTTATTACTAATATATCCACTCATTTCTTAAATATCCATCACATCAAGGAGTACTCTGTGCATTCAGCTAATTAAAAAACAGTTAATCGGCCATTGCAACAACAAGTTGCCAGAAAATTAACAATTCCCGAAAATTAGAAACGGTAAGGTAAAAATATTTAAGTAAGAAAAACTTAAGTACTTTCAAATCTCTCTCCAACAAAAACGTATTTAAAATAATTTTTCACATGCATAGCGTGATTAGCATTCCTAAAACTTTAACGGTAAAAATCTCTACAAAATTGAATTTTCCTATCACAGTACTCAAGTATATACATACGTACGCATATAATATATGTATACATGCATATATGAATGTACGTGTACAATAATTATTAAATACCAGATAAAGAATCCGGAAATCATTACCACCACACCCCGCAAATCAGCTACTTTGGGAAGGTCTCCTTTACAAGAGGTCAAGAATATTCCGAATAGTTTTACTGCGCATGCGCTTTTTAGAAAACAACATTATCAATGAAGTAATAGAACATTAAAAAATTTCCTTATAGCATCATATTTGAAATTCCCCCAAAACTTGAAACACAGTGATGCGAAAAAGGATTCAACAAAGCTTAATCTGTGATCATTTTTATAGAAAACAAAATAGCATAATAATGATTTCAAGAACTAAATATTTGTAACACAAAATTGTAAGCTTGAGGTATAGCTCATAAGTCCTACAGTTCGCATAAATCACAATAAAATGCTGAAAAATTACTCCCCAACAAATACTCAAAGGGCCCACCAGCGGCCGAGCGGTACAAGCCACTAAACACTGGTAGTTCGGTCCGGGATTCGAGCCCCGGCAAAAGGGCTGGCTGCATGGGCGTTTTCGTGGTTTTCCCCATATGTAGCATGGATACGAGCCAGTTTCCCTTAAAAAGACCTCCACGGGGCACCCTCCCTTTCCGTGTAGTGCCTAATGGCGGAGCACGTAATAAGGCCCCCCCCAAAAATACTCAAAACAAGTTTAGAATTACAAAAAATAGTGCGAAATTTCAAGTAACAAAAAATTTTGAAAGTTTTAATTTTTCTTTGATATGGCAAAGCATGTGAGGTCTGTTTCCTTAAGAGAAGGGATGTCTTCATGAAGGACGTTCTGAGGGAGTTCGTATCCATGTTACACATGAAGAAAACCACGAAGGAATTTGAAAGAGGTTTAACAATTATATAATAAGGATTTATCTTAAATATTTATTACAGAAATCATTACAACTGCATACAACAATCATGAGCTGGAGTGATATCACAAGTTATTTCAAAAGCTAGTGAAACACAGCGTTAATTAATGATTGAGAATGTAATTTGTTTGACTTATAGGTTCACAAGATAATTTTTATTTTATACACCCGAAAGTTTAATTAGTGTAATCAGTTCAGTTTCTATAGCACCAAAATGCAACCATCAACTGAAGCGACACGATTTGTTAATGAACTCAAAACCAACACTTCAAATAAGTCGGGACCTAACAATCCATTTTTCAAATTACATAGTTTTTAGTTTATGCAAGGAAGTCAACGAATTAAAACGGCATATCTAACAAGAATTAAAATTTCAGTGTTTTCTCTCTACATGCAAAGCAACTTAAAAAAGGGGGTGGGCTGGGGAAGAAAGAACCAATATCAATCATTAAAATGTTAATATATATTTTAAAAGGAATGCAATCAAAATACTAATCAAGACACAATAACACGCCGAATAAATACTAAATCAGAAGTCAACCAACAAAAATCAGCGTTATATTTACAAAATTTTCACAGGACTAGTTTCGATGGTTTTACCGAACCACCATCTTCAGCTGCAAAACCGCAAATGAACCAGATAGGAAATAACGATTAGATAAGAAAAGAAGCCTGGACAAGAATAAGCAGTGGCGCCATCTGTTGGTGAAACCAGAACTAAAACATAATTTCTTTAAAGGCCGAAGGCAAATTTGGATTGGAATTAGGATCGTCTAGAACGAAAGATTTTATGAATGTGAAATGCCTCTAAAAAATTCAGTTCTCCAATGGAAGATGTTTTTTGAATAATTTTAGCAGCAGAAAAACTGAAAATGTGGTTTTCGGACCAACAATGTTGAGCAACAGAAGACTTCTGTATATATGAGTAAAATACTAATGTTTAACATTTTAATATGCAGCATACAAAATCCTTTGTTCTAACGCCTAACATTGTAAAATATTAGACATCAAGAAACAAATCTGTAACATAAATCATAAACATAAAACTGTATATATGAGTAAATATGGTCCTCCATACACGAAACCATTACGAAGAGACATTTATTACATCCCTTTCGAATTTCGATATAGTTTGTATGGGTGTACTCCAACTGCGCGAATGAAAATCCCCCCCCGTCTTTGTATAGTCCAACTACGCGAATCAAAATTTCCCCCCCCCGTTGCCTACAGAGTTACAATTTTACTTTTCGAAGCCAATTGTAGCCAAGAGGAAAATAAAAATAAGGAAATAGAATGACATATCACAACAACATGTACAGAATATCTAACAAGCAGGATAATTACTTGAATAACAGTAATACTAAATGTGAAAGCTAACAGAGAAAATAAAAGGTATTGCTAAACATAACATATTAGCACTAGAAACATCTTTCATTAATTACAATATTAGAGGAAAGATTATTACAATAATATCATGAATCAAATAATTGTAAAGCATACCAATTATTTTTTTTATAAATTAGATCAATAATCAAGATGTCTGAACTAGAATGGAAAATTTAATATAGTTCACTGGCGTGCAAAAGATTATTCCGTATGGAAGTGTGTTAAAGTGTGCTAGAAATATTTTTTGTTAATTAAAGTAATCATGTAAGTATTTGCAGAAATTAATAGTTAAATTTAAAAAAAGCTTAGGATTAAATATATTATAACAACATTACTATGCGTTTGGAACTCTGACATATAAATTGTAAATAAAATTTAAATTATTATGCTAAGAAGTTTTTCTAAAATTTATCTAGAAGAAAAGAATTAGATAAACAGTATTGCAAATTAATATAATCAATCAGGCCTCTCAATAAATAGAAATTTTTTTTAAACCAAAAATTAAAAATTGGGATGCAAAAGTTTGTATAATATACTTGACAACATCTGAACATACAATTAATCAAAAACGTATAATTAAATTAATAACAAGCTAATCAACAGCAACATTAAGCTTAATTACCATTCAATCTACATAAAACAAGCAATCGATCAGGTGCTCCGCATAACTGAAGTTTAATTGCTATTTTATGTAGATTTCCGTATAAAATAAATATCTGCACTTGTGAAACAAGTGAATAATGTACTGATAGTCCACAGGAATTAAAATATAGTGGTTAAAATATAACTAATTCTCAGAAGGTATACAAAGTTACTATAGCTACATAAATTGAATCGTTATAGAAAACTCGTAAAGTTAAGCACTACAGTGTGAAAAAAAAATTCTGGAATAAATATGTTAAGAAAATTAGATAAATAATCCTTAATTTATTGATATCCATATAAACTCTATGCTTTTTGGAAAAGGTTACATATAATTTGGATCGAGAAATCAATCATCGATTCCAAGTTAATTTCTTTCCTTATTTTTTCATATTAGAAGGATTTGTAAAAAGATATGTTAAGGTGAAAATTTTTGCAATATTTTTAAAGAAAAAATTTTAAAAAATATTTTTTGGTTCACGCACTGAAATTTTTATGAAACATTTTTACACAGTAAATAAGTACAAAGAAAGAAAGTCCTGGGGGATCTCTGGGATTAGAAACTCGGGTCGAACTACAATGTTTAGTGACCTTTTCCGCTTGATCATAAGACCTTTTGAAATTAGGCTGATCAGATGCTATATGTTGAGAAATATATTAAAGAAAAAAGAAAGATACAGCACACGTAAGAACAAAAGCGGGCTGAATTAGAGATTTACATGTTTGGTGAATGAGATAAACTTATCTGATGTATGCCATTATGAAATATTAGGAATGTAACAAAAAGAATTAGTAAAGAAGGCAATGGTTTACAATCTAAATCAATGTAATCTAAATTTATAAAATTATCAATATCTGCTATCAATTTCAATACTGCGGAAAATTTTGAAAAAATTAGAAATGAATTCTATTATAAATCACACGAACGTGTTGCATTATAAATTACAACAGTTAGAATATTATTAGCGTGATTTAGCGACCATGTTTGTTAACAAAAAATTTCAAATTAATTTTACAAATAATTCAGCCTGAAACTAGGTTAGAAAATAAAGCTGCATATTGAAAACTTGAAGATTAATCTGTGTACCAAGGTGTTGAAAATATCTTCTGTTAACTCTAGTTAACAGATTAGATTATTAATTGTTAACATATTAGATTATTATTGTTAACATAATTAGAGTTATGATGCAAGAATTTGTAAAAATATCATTTAAATATAAATTGGCATAAATATAATACAAATTATATACATTCTACATATATGAAAACTTGAATACTGTACAACAATATGTGAAAAAGGAATGGATGAAAAGGGAACTGATAAAATCCCAAGATATGAATATAAGGGAGTTTTCGAAAAATTTTTTTTTTAAATTATGAAAATTCTGCAGATGCTCATAATCATCATTAATTATTAATTAAATGTGTATTAGAAATTAAATGTATGTCAGAGTAAAACAAGAAGTAAACATACGGTTAGAGTTATTGGAAAACAGAATAAAGATTTAAACGTTTCTAATATTTAAACATGGAATTTGTAAGACAAATTAAATAACCTTAAAATAACTTCAATGATTAAAAATGGAAAGCTTAATGACGGGATATATTACAATAAGGCATATGTTACAGTAATTATTGGCTTGAATTTAGAACCAGCTTTAAGAAATCCTAATTTTTAGATT